AGGATGCAGAGGCCTGTAAGTTAGTTGTCATTTATGCTGCGCCGTACCTCGTGAATTATATACCCCTCTTTTTATTTTTCTTCCTCCGGGTTATTTACCAAAATTACGGAAAATATCGGACTGCATACCGATGGTATGCATTTCATGCCTAACCCCTCCAGGCATAGGTGAACGTTTTTTCTAACTCATGTTTGTTGCATATTCAGGATCCAACGGCTTCTGGTACCTTTGTCCTTCCCCCCGCCGATCGCTCCCATCGACGGTACAATCCCCTGACACAAGAGTGGGTAATCGTGTCTCCCAATCGGCTTCAGCGACCATGGAGCGGAGCAATTGAGAAGACCCCCAGTGACCAAGATAACAAGTCTGCAAATTCAGGCGATGCCGGCAAACCAAATCCTCTGGCGCCCGGAGCCTCAAGACCCGGCGGCGTAGTCAACCCGAATTACACGTCAACTTACACATTCAAAAATGACTTTCCAGCTTTGGTGAGTCTGCAGCTCTGGTTTTATGTATTTCAGCGAATACATCCATTCGCATATGCAGTAGGTGCTTTGGTGAAGTGAAGCCCCGACAAAGATAAAGGAGATCGGAATGGCCGTTTCTGGCTTATTAGCCATCTTCGGCTAGCCAGTCCCAGGGGTGGTGACCCCCGAGATTCGAGCCCGCGAGCTTTGGTCATTGAGCGCAACATGCTACGTCTGCGCCACGGGCCCGTTGTTATTTTTGGTTGCGAGCGGGTGTATGATGATAGTAGGAAGCTCTGTGACTGCCTGTGTGGGCTCTACATTAAGTTCCAAGGCAAAATTGGCGAGCATGTTCCGCAAACAGATCAGTGAGCACCCTACTATCCTAATAACCACTTTATTCGGGTGTGCAGTCGGTAGAGATTGCACCTTTAGACTACCTCATGAATTCCTACCTTTTCGTCAAATTGACTGGCTGCAGTGGAATCTGGCCTGTTAAAACCTTCCTGCAAAATGGCCTACACCGTCTCCGAAAAATATTTACGCTTGAGCACCAAAAATGATTAGCAACTTAGTCTAAATCAAGCAGGCTCCATCTTTTAAGTTGTACCAGGAATAATTCTTGTCAGGCTAAACCAAGAATGAAATTCAGGCACTTTTAACTTTGAAGAATAACGTCTATCGTTGGTGTACCGAGAGCTGACAAGCCACTTCTTCA